TGGCAGTCCTTTAGGTATGGAGCTAAACTGTTTTAAGTCCCTGAAGGTGAAAACCAAGACTTTAAACTGAACTCAGAAACAAACACAGGCAGGTACATCATCGATGGAATTATGATTTTACAGATTAGTCCCAATTAATATATTTTATTTATTTATTTATTCATGTATTTATTTATAAAATGATATATAATTTATATATTATTAATAAAATAAAATATAATAATACATTAATGTACTGTATATTAATACATAGTCTTAACTGGACACATTCTGCACTAGCATAAATATTTAAATTGTCCTCAAATGTGGGACCTTCCTACCATTAGTGTGAACAAAGGCATCAGACACTGAGCTGAAAGCAACATGTTGTAGGAACGGTATGCCGTAAAGTCTGGCATACGTGGGGGAGGAAACTGTCTAATTCTCAGCATTTAGCAGATAGAACTGGCAGTCTACTGTATAAGGCATAAGACAGGATTGCATTCTACCTCATCGCATAGAGGTCATTGCAATAAACTATTTGGAATATACCTAGTATATGCATAACTGAGGCTAGGTGCACTTTTCCTACAGAAATATCAGCTGATCTTGTAAAATATACTTATGACTATTTATTTATATTAAATTTATATAGCCACCCATTTCACATGTGTGACTCCAGGATACTGAAATGCATGCATGTACTTCTAGAGACAGCATCAGATCCGAAGCACCTGCAAACTCTCCTGTAATCTTTCTTTCCAGAACTGCAGATTTACCCATCCTCAATCATTGACTGATCTCCCAAAATTGACACTTCCCCCAGCAGTTTCATACACACTTTATAGCACCGAAACAATATAAAAAGTTGTGGTAGCCCAGACCAAAGCAACAGGCCAGAACACTAACACTGTATCCCTTAACACAGTCTAGAAGAGCTGTTTGAAAGGGTGTCATGGCCTCAAAGCTACTAAAAGATCCAGATAAACTAATAGTATTGAGCCCTTGTTAGTTCTTTTGGAACTAGTTCAATTCAATAAAATAATCAAGTATCTTTCTGTCTGAAAATCAAATTAAATTGCAGCTGGAATGGATTCAAATAATGAAAACAAATATTGAAAAGAGTTGGTGTTTGAAGAACTGCTGACAATTTTTTCCATTTTCCTGTTGTCTCTTGTTTTGAAGCTACAACAGAAGCAATTCTTTAACAGTTTGTATTTTTGTATTATTGCCCCATTGTTCCACAGTTGTTTCTTGGCAAACAAAGGATTTCCATTTGTTCTTTGTGTTTCACAGAAAGCTAGACTTTTCTTTGTGACGATAAGAACAGAATCCTATACATGCCCAAGTAAATGTGTGAAAATTGGAATTCTACATGGAATTAATTCCACTGAATGAAGTAACATTTACTTCCAAGAATCCATGGCCATGAATACATGGTAAAAGTTCTGGATTACTGCCAAGAGTGATTAATAGAACAGCTTTGGAAAGTTACTTTTTGTTAGAATATTTTTTGTCTTTTGATTCATTTAAAGGCAATTTGTGGCCTTTGGCTGCATAAAGTTTCTAATCTACCTTTTTGTAACCATTGAAACCCTACCTAACCATTATTGTTAAAACCTAACATCATAGTTTTCAATATTTTAAGACAGAAAACACACAGAAACTGGTGTAAACCCTAAACCAGGCGTATAACATTAAAAAAAAAAGACCCCTTCCCCAAATCTCTGAGAAAAAATCAAAACAAAACATTTCCTGTCTGCACTAACATGTATGGTGGTAGAGTATCATTCCTCCTACTGCAAGCCTGGGTTCGTCTTAAAAATGTTAAGCATGGACTTCAGGCTGTGCTATGTTGCTGAGCTCTTCAGTATAGCCTGACCCCCAAAATACTTCTCTTCATACAGTTGAAGAGAAATGCAAAGTTGGCTTCTGAGTACATAGTGTAAAGTCCTCAGCCATTAGGGGCAAGGTATGTTGTGCAGTATCGGGTTGCAGTTATTAAAACTCTGGGAATCCTACCTACTTTTTCACCTACCATGGTATAATCATTACTTTCAGATTCAGCCTTGGATTTTATGAATAAAATACCAGAAGTATTGATGTGAAAAAGCTTTGACTGTAGGTATAAATGTATTGCAAGGAACTGCATTTTTAAAAGATTGTCTTCATTTAAATTAATGAATTAGGAGTCCCAGCAGATTCGAACAGTGATGTTGGGTTAGGGTTAAGAATATTGTTAGTGTCAGAAACCTTTTAGGAACATTATAGCCTAAAATATCATGAAGCACATGAAGGTTAAAGAAAGCTGATCAACCCACCTTTGCCCACCGCTTCCCAAGATTTCAGATCAGAGACCTCCCAGCTAAGACTGAGCCCCTTGTTTTAAAAGTATTTTGCAAAATGTCTTCAAATTAGAAATAATGAATCTCTCTGTTACGTAATGCACATGGGGCTAAAAGATGAACTGCAGGAACTGATTTCTGAAAGCAAGAAAGAAACCAACCGTTATAAGATATAACAAGGATGGATGTCTTTACCTAGGCAGTCTTGTCCCCAGTATCCTGGGCAACACTGTGGCTGCTGGAACGTTCCCATACAGGTATGTCGACATCCATGGAAAGACAGAGATAAAGAACTGATTTCAACGTAGTATCTGTGAGACAAAGATTTAGACTTTGTTAAAGTTCTTGATGTCCGCTTCAGGAATTATTACTGTTTTTTTTCATGAAAAAGCAACAGTACGGGTAACATTTGCTGTACTGCAAGGAATGGATTTTGTGGAAAGAAGTAAAAATGGTTTCATACAGGAATGGGCTCCTGCCCATTTCATTATATACAAGTGAGGATTCGACCATGTCAGGACAAACATAAAAGGTGAATGCAGTGAGATTGGGTTATTTAAGAAGTGTGTGTGGCAAAAGAAGAAGAGGTGAATTTTCAACCAATGTCTGTGGGAAAAATCTAGGGCCTTTCTCAGCAGGATGAGAGCTTACAACATTTTTTTCAGTAAGAAAACAATAAGCTTGGACTGCAAGTAATAATAACCATTACATCCATAGAAACAGCTGAAATTTCAAATACGCTTCCTTCCTATTGTACTTGAGTGACTAAACTGATGAAGTTTAGTTCAGTTTACTATAGTGAAGAGAAGATCATTAGATGTGGAATCAATTCCTTAACAGCAAATAGAAAACCAGCACAGAGAAAAGGATTAAGTTAGAATTCTTCTCCCCAATGCTCTACTATTCTTCTTGAAGGGTTCTCTCTCTCCCTCCCTCCCTCCCTCCCTCTCTGTGGGTTAGATTTATATCTTGTTTTTCCTCCAGGAGCATAAAGTAGTTTACACTGGAGGAATCTCTGTTTCATCCCCATAACAACCCTGTGAGGTTGGCTGGGCTGAAAGAGAGGGCTGAAGGTAGAACTAAATGTGCGTCTCTCCAGTCCTAGTCTTCTACTACTACTACTACTACTACTACTACTACTACTACTACTACTACTACTACTACTACTACTACTACTACTACTACTACTACTACTACACCACACTGATGTTCTCACTTTCTTTTTTAATGTAATTTTTATTAAATATTTAATTACAGTGGTAAAAACTAATACAAACTAAACTTAAAGAAAGAGAAGAAAATGGAAGAAAAAGAAGAAAAATGTAGAAAAAAGAAGAAAAAGAAAAGAAATATATAAAGAAGTGATTTTTAACCTTCATCACAAGTATAAATGAATTTAATAACTCTTCACCCGGTATAAGGTTACAAACAGATAACTTTTCATCTTATATCCCATCCATTATCTATAAGTAAATCCATAAAACATCAACTTTTCAATCTTGGTGTCAGCAAAAAGTCCATAAAGGGTTGCCAGAACTTGCAAAAAACAAAAAAAGTCTTATTTGAACCTTGATCAAATAAACCAACTGTATAGTCCTTCCTTTTGCTTCTAATAATCTTAATTTTTAATTCAATCAAATATTGTCATAGGATTTGATCTTTCTTCAATTCTTCTTTATGATGTTCTCACTTTCTCACACACATATACAAATAGAGGGGAACATTAAAGAAATGGTTAAAGTAGTAGAATGTATGCTGCTATACTTATTAACACCCATGTCTAGATCCAAGCCACTTTCTCTTGAGCTTAACTCTTCCCTACAATGGGGTGGGGAATTAATTATGGCCTAGCATACCAGATTGGTATGGGACTTTTTATGGGATTTTTCCAAGGACTATCTTCAGTTAAGGAACATAACCAATGTTTTCAAATGTAGCTTGGTCTGTCTATTAGCACCAATAAAACTTTATCCAGATCTTGATGCTGACTGCTTCCACAGCCTATCCAAAATTTCATTTTTCAGTGTCTTTCAAATATCTTAGAAGTATTTTGTGGGAACAGTGCAATTGTTTAGGACTCAACAACAACATATTGTTTGAAAAGCCTCTCACTCCATTTCTGCTGGCATTTACAGTGGGGTAGGACTCTTCTCTGTGGGTTAAGGAGTCCTCAAAATACAGGGTTCCTGAATGCATAAGGGAGCTCTTTGTGCATCTATAGAAGAAATAACCAGGTACATCCCACCATCTTCACCTCCACTCATATTCACCATATGCTTCAGATAAACACATGAAGATCGATATATAGGGTCTGCAAGTGTGTGGGTGGGGGGGGGGGGGGGGGGGAGGGCTCAATAGACACCACTTCCTCTCTTGCCATATATCCATATCCATAGGTATACTGTATGAACAAAACTTATCATGACTAAAAAAAAACCCTTTAAGTAATTAACTGTCAGAGTAGAAAATATCTATCAGTAATTAACATTAGTATTACCTGCAGCCACGTCTCCCAACGCCATTGGTAATTTTGGTATAACCTTCAGGACACTGGATTTTATCATTAACAGAACAAGCTCCACATTTGGTTTTTGTGGTAATAATTGTATCCTCGTCACATCTATGTTTTTCCTAAAGGGCAGTGGGTACAAGTTGAAAAAGAGAGAGATGGGGCAATTAAGGAATCATTTTTTGTTAGAGCATAACTGTGCTTTTAACAGCAGTTTGACATACCTATGTTCTATTTTATTTTATAGTGGACTTCAAGGACCACACAAGGAATACCACATTATAAAAATAGTAATGCAGTAATGGTCTACAACATTGCCCCAGTATGGGATGAAATAAAGAAGATTTTCATAAGGCCAGAAAAGATGGGTCCACGTGCATTTTCCAGGGAACACTCTTGCACAAAGTCTGAGCCGCTTTAAAAAAGATCCTGCCCTTTCCACTCAGTTCTACTCTGATGCTGATCTCTTAGTATGATTAGGATAATATGCCTAGAGGAACCATGCGAATGAACTAACCCCAAATTAGCTAGGGTTTAAAGTTCAATAATATCATCTCACATTGGTCCAAGAAATAAATAGTTCATGTAATCAGTGTAGGAAACTTAGTCCTTAACTCATGTTAATGTTTGTGTTTGCACCAACTGAAATTTTCATACAGACTTTAAGGTCATTCCCAAGCATAGGACATTATGGCAATCTAGTCTGGGCACAATCACAGAGTGTGCCGCTGAAAAAGATTAACCTTCCTTAAATAATCCCTTGATCCAAACCGAGGAGAGACCATTTTCCTAACAAAATTACCCCCCAGAAGTTTTTTCCTTTCTCTGAGCCACACTTAAATTGTGCAACATTTTTGTTGTATGACAACGTCCTTACTAGAATCATAGAACTAAAAAGGGCTGTTTAGGGCTTCAGCCTGAACCTCTTGCTTAGACACACGTTTCTTTAGAAGTTAGAAAAGATTTTTATCTGTCTCTGATTTTCTCTTTCTGTAATTTTTCAGCTAGGTTTTTATTGTTTAATTTGGCATAGGCACCAAAAGATCAGGATATACAGTTTTTGGATAAAAGAAATAAATTAATAACATTTGCCTGAGAAAGGAAATAGTTTTTTGTATTCAGGGCAGTTTTTCTCCTGGACTAAAGATCAGTCTCAGAAGGAGAAATTTCTTGAGCATCAAACTTCTCAGGGGACATCATAAACCAGTCTTATCCAACTTGGAGGTGGAGCTAAGACAGTAATGGAGCAGCAGTTTTCCTGCTGAGCTCCTTATATTTTATTTGTTCTATCCAAACTTGGTTTACAGCCCATCCCTTTGCATATTTGAAATAAATCCCATTCTGTTTAAGAGCACTTACTTACAAGAGCAGTTTTAATTAACTAAATTATTTTTGCAGAGAGTAATAGATATGCTGATTCAAATGATTTATCTCTGATTTATAAGCCAGATATTTCAAGCCTGAACTCTGGAATCCTTCTCAGAATTTACACCAAAGTCCTTGCTGTATGACTAGATGGGGAAAAAAGCATGGATTTACATGTAAGCTTCTGCCATCATCGAAATATAAAATACTTCTTACCTGTTGAGCATTTTCCATGAGACTGATGGCATTTGTAATCACCAATGATAGGAGTATGGCAACTGGCAATTGCTCTCTCATGATGAAGAAATGGCTGCCAATGAACTCTAACATTACAGCCACAGACCATTCCAAGATGCCCTTCTGCTCAGTTCTTCCAGATCAGCACAGTGCCATTCAAACTACATACATTCCTTTTCTTCTATTCCTGCAGTGAGCAAAGAATAGAGACCACATGAAACCTGATATTGGACAGGAAAAGCTACCCAAAGGCATGGGATTGCGGAAAATGCTTACAGCAAGCCCAGTTAACACTTTGTAACTGGCATTCTGCCTTATTTCATTGTAAGAACTCTCACCCAGCAATTTCCCCCCTCCCCAATTTCTGCAGTTGTTGACAGCAGAGTTTCAAGGACAGAAGACTGAGTGTCAGCAGCAGAAGATAACATCCCGGACATGAGTTCTGACAGTAGCTGTGACCCATAGTGTCACCCACAAATCTTTCTTAAATGAAGTTAGTCAGAAAACCATTTGCCCTTAGTTGCAGCTCAGAGTACCTCATAAGAAGATTTTCAGAAGTGGGAGAGATGTATTTATGCTTTGGTTAAATGTAGAAAGTGCTTTGTTCAGTGACTCATATTTTGGTGATCCTTTATTGATTGATTTTTAAAGCTTTGTGGGGAATGAGCCATGGGCCAATCAATATAGTTTTGGTTTGCAGTCTAATAATTGCATGTCTGATCACATAAATCTCTTACCTGTTTCTTGGAAGTAACTCTCATTGTATTAAGTAGGTACTTATTCTGAGATAATTACACATTGTGCTACAGCCAGAATTACATATTTCTGGGTCCCCACATTAAACCAAAATATGGTTTGCTTGATTTTGACTTCATGAACCCAGCTACTGCAGTTTGTAAATCATGGCTATTAGCTTAGTGAATGTGACTACTGCCAATTGCGGCTATTGAATAAAACTGTGGTTAATAAAGCCATGACTTAGTGTAAGGTGCAAACTGAACCCCTGGTGGAGGTGGGTGGGTGGGGGGCAGGGTCCACGCTTGGCGTTTTCCCTCACAACCGTCATTTCGACAGAATCTTTGAGAGACGACGTTCTGCTTCCAATTATGGCAAAAAGAAAAGAAGGCCATTTTTCAATGCCAGCATCCAACAAAAGAGCTAGGCAAGAATTCATAGATAGCTCTGATGAAGAACTTAGTGACGAATTCTCACAGCTGCAGAGTGACTGTAGTTCTGACTTGCAATTGGCTTCAGGGAACGTTGGAATAATTGAAAGTATCCAACTGAAGAACTTTATGTGCCATTCTATGTTGGGGCCATTCAAGTTTGGATCCAATGTCAATTTTATAGTTAGAAACAATGGAAGTGGGAAAAGTGCTGTGCTAACTGCCCTGATTGTAGGCCTTGGAGGAAAAGCCACAGTGACAAAACGAGGATCATCTTTGAAAGTATTTGTGAAAGATGGACAGAGTTCTGCAGATGTTTCAATAACTCTACGAAATCAAGGTGAAGATGCATTTAGACCAGAGCAATATGGTGACTCTATCATTATAAATCAGCACATAACTTTGGAAGGACATTGTAGTTACAAGCTGAAAAGCAGTACAGGGGCCCTAATTTCTTCCAAGAAAGAAGAACTTACTGCAATTCTGGATCATTTTAATATCCAGGTAGATAATCCTGTCTCTGTACTCACTCAGGAAATGAGCAAACAGTTCTTACATTCTAAAAATGAAGGTGACAAATACAAGTTCTTTATGAAAGCAACACAACTGGAGCAGATGAAGGAAGATTATTCATACATCATGGAAACTAAGCAAAGAACGAAAGATCAAGTTGAACAAGGAGAAGAGTTTCTTGAAGAACTTAGAAAGCAATATTTGAAAAAGGCAGAACGTTACAGAAGTAGTGCTGTTTTGAGTGAAATGCAGAATGAGCTAAAAGAATTGCAGCATCAAATAGCTTGGAGAATGGTACAAGATACTGAAAATAAAATAAAAGAAATCAGTGTTAATGTTACTGCCCAAGAAACAAGTACTGAGAAATTTGTTGAGCGAGTGAAAGAATGGCAGACTAAAGTAGATGCAGCAGAAGTTAAACAATGAACTGTGCAAGACAAATTAGAGAAGATAACAGAAGAAGCTCAAACTCTGGGACCGTCATGTATTGCTTTGAAAACAGAAATACAGGCAAAAAGAAAATCATACCATGATTCAGAAGCAGCACATAATAGTTTTCAAGCTGAACTGAAGCATTTGCAAAAAGAACATGAACAACTTTGCAAACACAAAATTGAAGAACTGGAAAATAGTGCTGAACAGATTTCAGAGCCTGAAAAGGTTGAAAAACAGAGAAGAATAGATTATTTGAAAGAAAAGCTGTAGACATTACATGATCAAGATGAATCAGTTGATCAGCAATTAACACAGTTTCAACGGGCTCTACATTCATATGATGAAGATTTTGCTAGACTTAAAGAGGAAGATGATGAAGTGAAAAAAATACCGAATTCTCAACAGCAACAGCTAAGACAATTAAAGGAGAGTAAAACCAATAGAATGAAAAGATTTGGACAATATATGCCAGACCTTTGTGAAGCAATTGAGATGGCTGATGCATGGGGCAGTTTACATATAAACCAATAGGACAGTGTTGTCCAAACTTGGCCACTTTAAGATGAGTGGACTTCAACTCCCAGAATT